ACAAGGTATTTATATATTTATTCAGTTACTAATATCGGTTTCTGTACGTACAAAAACTGTCACAGCTGAATCAGATATCATTTCTCATAGATTCAGTGTTGTGTAGAACCACTTGAACGGGCTGATCGTTTTCGGATCGATTGCTCGTCTGATGTTATCGAGGCGTGTCCTTTTTCTCCACTTTTGTATTGCATTAAATTATCTGTTTAGCCCTTTCCATTAAGAAGATGCGGACCCAATAAAAGCTTATATTTTCTCTCCTATATACTAATTAATGTGGGTTCATTTCCTCTAATACTATTAATTTGGAAACGGAATATGTACAAAATATTGTCGCCGGACAATTTGTCCGAATAATAGGGCCCTGAACAATCGCATGATGGTGAAAGTATTAATCACAATCTTGAAATCGCGAAAAGTTACACGGATTGAAACGTTTATGCATTAAGGAATGATTTTATTTTAATTTAGTGAAAATAAAATCCAGTGAATATACCTTTTTTTCCTTTTTTTTTTTTTTTTTTTTCATTTTACGTTAAAAATCAATGTAAATAACTTCCATACAAACACCAAAAAAAATCTTTTCGGTAAAAATTAATTCCAGCTAAAATAAATTATTTTACAGTACTTAGTAAGTTTACAGAGTGATATTTCACCGTAATACTTGAATACAAAGAAATGTTATATCCCACAATACGAGTACATTGCATGTATGCTCAGCAACATGCCCCGGCCGTCAGTTCAAAATTTTAGTTCGACACGGACACACATTATAAGCGAAAAACTGAAAATGGTGTACCTAATGAACGAAAAAAAAGACTTGTCCAATAGAAGTCACACAAATTACAGCTTAGACGATTCGTGGAAAGTAAATACAAAACATTGTTCGTTACAGGTTGTTTCTCTATAACTTGTCAAAATGGAGGCACGTGTATATTAGCTCACAACAGCTATGGCTATGTGTGCCAGTGTACTGAGTCATACCATGGACAAAACTGTGAAACCCTATTAATCGGTAAGTGCCTTACTATAGCACGTGATATAAGAAAGAAGTGATACACTTTATCCATAAGACGCGCCCTCTGGTGGCGAGGCGTTTCGTTGTCGCAGATGGATAACAACAATGTGGTTCAGAACGAGTAATATGTGTGGTTATGTTGTCGTTTGTGTTTTTGGCTATATAATAAATGTCCCCCCAAACTAGGGGATGAGTACATGAGTACTTAGCCACTTGATCACGGTAACCGTGACTTGACAGAAGTGTTTTGTCGCCGGAATATTATCAAACAAAAAGTCAAGTTTGACGAACGAACGAATGTGAAATCACGCATAGTAAGAAACGTAGACTAACAATCAAGTTTGCTCCCTTCACAAATTAGATCGCGATTGCGGAGGCACTTACTACCAACCCACCGGGACGGTCGTTTCGCCCAACTACCCCTACTACTACGAAAATCGTATGACCTGTTATTATTTCATCAAAGTGCCCAGTACTGTTGGTCAGCAGGAAGTACTTCTGACGTTCACTGTATTCCGCGTGGAACTGAACAAAGACTTTGTGTTTATTGGCGCCGGGCCTACGGCGGATATTAATGCTGCTGGCGCCTCTGTTTTGTCTGGGACAACTCTACCGGCACCAATCGCAATTAACAGCGATCAAGTATGGATTATATTTTACGCCGACTCGAGTACCAATGACATTGGCTGGATACTCACATATGTTTCTGGTGAGCATGTATTTATTACAAATTATATAAGATTTGAAATAAGTCTCCTGTTTTATGACTCTTTCCATGTGCACGAAACCATCCAACTGTTAGAGTGTATTGTATAATTTGTCCTAACGCGGGGAGTCGTCACCTGCGCATGCGTCAGATGGGCATAGCGTGTCATAGTTTACAAACAAGCGTCTACCCATGAGCCTTTGCATTTTTAGCGTGTGTTGTCATTGTCGCTTGGGATTCAATTCCCGCGCGTGCGCAGGTGACGACCCTCCCACTTTAATTTATTGCTCTAGTGATGCAACTATTAACTAGAAGAACTACAGATATTCAATAAAACCCACACATTCTTGATATTTCTATGAGGGTTACATAACAAAAATGAATAAAAGAAAAATACCAGGGCTTGTTTCCATGGGAAAAAATCAATATGTATGTGACCAAATAAGGTTTATAATTTGAAAAAAAGTAATTTAGAAAGTCATTAACGTGTGGGGAAAACATTTATAATAACATATTCAATCTGACTAACGTATCGACGCATCTAAAAAATGGACAAAATATCACAGATGCTCTAACTACACTTTTGTGAGAGACTGGGTTTATTTTTATTCCAGGAAGCCCATGCAATAGCAATCCCTGTATGAATGGTGGGACGTGTCATAATTTCTACACCTTTTATTCATGTGAGTGTTCACCGCAGTGGACGGGCTCCAACTGTAATATTGGTAAGTTATTCCAGCATCGATACACCAATAGTATATGCATGGGGTGATGTAATGCATGGCCCACTACGATGAATAATAATATTTGGATGCGACTCTGTCCCGTTGACAGCGATGATACCCACTTTATCTCCTACATGTTATATATTATTATACATCTGTCACCATAACGCCTTAAGTTACAGCGTGCCGTAATATTGTGGTATGTTACGAGGTATATTAATCCATGGGGGTTTATAGTTCCATGATTAATCCTACCATATTAGGAAATGCGAATTCCAAATATGAAATGATTATGCGCGTAAGAGTTCTCTAATAATAAAAACAAACATGGCTGCCATCAGAGTTTGACCGGACTCCAAGTTCGCTGATTCTGTTCTAAACATTTTGGATTTCGGCATCCCCAATGGTGTATCCTTGGCGGGATACCTCAAAGTATGCACTCAGACAGTGCATACTTTGAGGCATCCTCGTAATAACCTCATATTATTAGCACTACTACAATTATTTTTTTTAAATTATATTTAATAAAAACAACACTCTATTTGCTTACAATCAGCAGAGGAGGAGATACGCCTTGAAGTGCATGTATTAAAGTTATAAGAAGCGAATTTCTTTTTTTAAACTTTTTTTTCTTCAAAAATTGATAAAACTGTTACTTTAGACCTTGATACATCATCCCAACTTTTCAAAAGATCGAAATTTTTGGAAAGACGCTGTTCAAATTAGTTTTTTTTTGTAAACGCTGAGACAAATAACTACAACTGCCGTTGCGTGGATATTTGCATAATGGTTATCTTTGGAACGGTTTATTGATAACATCTTATCTGTATACTCTATTGTTGACGATTCTGATATAACGGGTGTTAAGCTTCCCGTCGCAAACTATGCGTGTTCATCTAACGTCCATTGTCAGCACTATTAATGGTACTTAATTATTGTCCTGTTTTGAGAGCCAAGAGTTCCCCCGCCTTCTTAGGAATTTATGTCATTTTATCTCGTATACGATTGTAGTTTCATTTTCCAATTATTTTTTCTCGAATGTTCTTATTATTGCGAATTCCTTCGGAGTGCTTGTGTAAGCAACACTTCATGTACATATTCGCAAGTATTAGATTAAACGATACATTGTATCGCTTACATGCACTGTACTATTATACTATAATGAACATGCATAACGATGCAATTGCAATATTTCATGTGGCAGCTGTCTCCGTAGCATGGTTGGGGTTGTTACACAAGTAGCTTACACAGCTAGTATCCATATCACAATTGTCATTACTAAAAACACATAGATAATTTGAATTATTTGTTGGTATGTTTGTTGTGATGTGCAGAGAATTATATGTTGGTCTACTAAGTCAGGCATTATTAAACTTTGTAGTAGTGCATACTTTCCGGCGGATAATATACAACAAATCTACATATTCAGTTTGTTGAGAGAATGCAATAACGGACACATTACCATTGAGTTAACTGTGTTTAAAGGGTGGTGGTCGTCGCGCTGCGCATGTGTGACATTTGTGTTGATAAACATTGATTTTCCCGTAATCAAAATCGGTTGACCTTGGGCGCGACTTTCACTGAATACCGTCGGCGACTCCTTCGATACATTCAAATCACCTAAAGATTACCAAATTAAAGCTTGGAAACGTCTCAGTTTGTACTCGTTGATCTGCGCAATAGTCAAAGTCGCCATCTTTGTTTATATGAGACCCATATATCATATACCGCCCTTTAACATCTGTGGTTTCGTTTTGTGAGTGGAGTTTTTTTTACAGGGAGAACGATTGTTTCACCATAGACCTTAGAAAAGGTCGCTATAGCTGAGTTGCGAGTTGTTGACCCAAACGATGTTGTTGGGAAGTTTTGTACACCCAGCAGTGCGTGTATTTGAATTTTCATTAGAGAGTACTTTATTAATTCAACACGTGTTGCATCTTACATATTATAAATAACATTTATTGAACTTTTCTACGTCTTCCTATGTAATTTCGTTTTACAGTTAACAGTTCACCTTGTGCGAGCAGTCCTTGTGTTAATGGCGGAACATGTTTTGTAGTTGATAATAATATTATCTGTAATTGCATGGTAGGATTCGTTGGCAATTATTGTGAATTTGGTAATAGTGATATTATTAATAATATTAACATTTGTATGGGGGAAATAAGGTTGAAAATGTCTGTCTGTAATACATATACTCGATAACTCAAAATGTTGTTACAGTACAAGATTTATCCGGTGTTCCTTGACGTATTTAAGAAGTATGTGATAGGTCCTCAATATAATGGTTTTTTACAGTCGGTGGTAATTATCGTTTTGTAGCTATCCTGGACTAATTTGGACAATTCAATGTTTTGACCTAATAAGGAAAACCCAGCAACAATTTAAATGTATAAAAATATATATGTAAGAAATGTATTACATTCAGAACATTTAGATATTTTTGTGAAACTTTCAATAATACGATCGTTATCTAAGATCTATACAGTATGTACACTGTGACCATTTTCCGAGATCCCGCGTTAAACGTTAAAACATCGCGCGAGATTCGACAAACGCTTAATAATGCACTATACACATTTGTTGATGGTCAATTTTGCTGAAGTAATTGCATCTCAGTGCCATATTCTCCGCTGAAAGCTTGGCATTCGGGCATTGAACTATAAAAAGGGAAATTCAAGTTCAAAATAAAATCATTCGATTGTTGCAGCAGACGTTCTGTCCGCTTTCATCATACATTACACGAGATCTCGCATGGGGGAAAATCACCTATTAACACCACACTTTACCTACTCTTCCAATCTGCATGTCAGTGACACATCGCACATTGTATGTGCGTTGATGATTGTCAGAAAATCCCCAATTATATTTGTTTGCAAGTCATATTCCAACAGTAGTGACAGTTATCTTGGCATTAAACGTGTCCCAACTCGTCGTTTTGCAGAGATTATTGCGTTTCCATGTGACAGTAATCCATGTACAAATGGAGGGGCGTGTCACAACTTTGCTGATTTATACTACACGTGCCAGTGTCCGGATGACTGGATTGGTACAAACTGTGAGATTGGTACGTTGCAGAGAAAAATACAATATGACACATACCACAATTCCTCCTTCCCAGTTCCCTCAGGCAGATTTAGTTGGAGACCGTCTTGAAACAAAATATATTTCTGGCGAACACAGATATACACGAACAATACCTAAATCCGATTTGGAACCCCGTTTCAATTTTATTATTATTGAAAGTAAAATTGTGAAAGTAACGAATATTGGACTGTCAAGTGTTTACATCTGATACGTAAATTTTCACCTAGATCAATCAATTGCCCATGTTGTAATATATTATTATAGCTGTTCTTTCGTATACGATGTTTCACTACAATAAATTTCAATATTTGAAGATAAAGTCTTGAGCGAAGAATCAGCATTTTTTCAGGATTATTGATTCTGTAGCTGTTTATGTAGACACATTAATAGATACGCATATTAATTAGAAATAACAAATACTAGTATACACTTACTGCACCTGGTGTATTGTATCATAATCACTTCGTTGATATACACAACTAATAATCAGTGATTCTGTCAGTATTTCTTAAAATCGGTTATTACATAATAAACCCTAATTGATTGTTATCATAATTAACGTAGCTTTCAGTGCCTGTGACAGCTCGCCTTGTCAAAACGGCGGCACGTGCGTCCACAGTAGTGGGAGATACCTGTGTAGCTGTCCCAGTGATTGGACCGGAAATGTGTGCGAATTGTTGGGTACGTGGTGTAATTGAAGAAGACTATCTTGTTATTTTCACACGCTTCTTTGGTGCTCTGGGATTTTTTCTTGTTTCTGGTTGTTGTTTCCTAAAAGACTCTGGTTTGGTGTTATTTTACTAGTAAGTAGATTGGGCTAGATTGAACAGGTTCTCTTTACTGGAAGTTACTCGTTCTAAAACTTAAACTTTTTTAATAGTTGGAAGAAAGTTAATTTGCTTCTCGGGCTCCCTCTGTTATATATTTAGCTTTTCTATACCAATATTTTCAAATAACTGTACTCTCTTTTTTTATCTGTATTCTATTGTCTGCTTACGCACAAAAGGAAAACACGTGGTTTAATTATCACGTTTGTTTAATTCTGCGACGTCTGCAGAAAATTAATCTTCGCATGAATACATGCATTTTAATGTTCACTTATAGCATCCTGAAAATATACTTTGTGTTATGGTATATGTGAGATTTAATGTAAACAAATCACCTTATTTTTGTTATATGTATCTTACAGCCGTCAATCCGTGTAACTCCTTTCCCTGCATAAATGGAGGAACATGTGACTGGTTGATCAGTAGTAACGTTTATACTTGCTCCTGTCCGCCATCTTGGACAGGTAGTTACTGCGAAATAGGTAAGTCGTGAAAAAAATATACCAGCTCTCCGTTTGGTGTAGCAAGATATTGTGCACAAAACGATATTAGCATGTGAGTTAGATTGGTAACTTTAATGACAGAATGTAAGGGGTTTTGGTGCATAAAATGAAGCGAATCAAAATTCAATTATGCAGTTATTGTACTCGCTTTTCAGTCCCCACATTGTATAATATGATACTTCATTTACATTGATTTACATTTATGGCTCCTTACAGTTTTCTTATTCATATCCGGTTTACTCTTTTAATGACTTGTGATTTATGACACTAATAGAACATGTTATTCACTTACTGAGAAGCTATTATGGACCAAGACGTTTCTCAGATACATACGGTATATTGCTATCATGACAGACTGTGTTGTTCCAATAGTAAATACACAGAATATGTAGCCAACACTTTACCCATCCATTCATACCACACATGGCTGTTTTCTTACTACTGCGTTACCTTAATATGGATGTGATCAAGGAATATTGGAGTACTTGAATCCGTGCACCAGTAATCCTTGCCGAAACGGAGGACTTTGTGAAAATGTGAACGGAAACATTCTCTTATATTCGTGCACCTGTCTAACAGGCTGGGATGGAATTTTATGCGAAGAAGGTAGCTAATGTCTTCGTCATTGATGCTGTTTTCGATGGAACCCACCCCCTTTTCCTGTATGAATGCATGTCATAATTCTCACAGTATTCATTATAATCGAAAATGCAGAAGCCTGAAATAGAATGTATGAGTATTTGAAAATGTAAAATCAATTCGAACTATTCACTATCCACATTTGCCCGATTTGCATATGTTTTACGCTACAAAAAAGGACTCGATACCAGTATATGTAGGATACCCCAATGAAATATACATAAGTGATTTTTGATCAATTTCTCTCTGTTTTTATCATCTTTACATCGCAGCTGTAAATCCTTGCATTTACACCCCCTGCCAAAACGGCGGCGAATGTCAGGCCACCGAGTCAACTTATACCTGTGTGTGTGGCATGTACTATACAGGGACCAATTGCGAAATCGGTAGTATAACCCAGCACGATTTGCGATATGTCGTTCATTCAAACATTCTTCCACCTAACCAGGAGTCGCATGCTGCCTTGCACCAATTGTGGATTTGACTTCAGAGTGTGATTGAACTTTGAACAATGGATGCTTCTTATTGACAACCTCTAATGTGTGTGATTGGAACAGATTGCAGTGATTTTGCTGTTATTTATTGAGGATTCCCATACGTATTATGAATGACCTGATATGAACACACGTGCATAATCACCTTTTCACTTGACTCGCTCTGTTCCATTAGCTCTCTTACGCTCTATCGTAAACCCATGTGACAGTAATCCCTGTCAACATGGCGCTACTTGCGAAAACGTGAACAATGACATTAGATTCTACAGCTGTTACTGCCTACCTCCTTGGACAGGTCCATTGTGTCAAATTATGACAGGTATATAGAAGACATTCATTGGTATAATTAATGTTTCGTCGACCAGATATTGGCCTCTTCTTCACAAAGAGCAGTGACATTATTGTAACACTGCCGTTACCCCCTTGGTTCATACGTTTGCAATTTATACTCAATTCAATATAGTTTACATAAGTTACATATATCATATATAACGAGTTAACTTATTTACATATTTGAAGACCAATGTAAACATATACATGTGAAAAATAAAATTCATATTTTGTATTTAAACATGATCCTTGAATTCATTTACATGTACACTACTCATATTTATTATATCAATTAACATCATCTGAAACATGTAATTATCTTCTACAGCAAATCTATGTGGCGAAAACCCTTGCAATAATGGAGGTATTTGCTCCGATTTTGGCACTTATTATTTGTGTACGTGTCCATATGGTTTTACTGGAACACACTGTGAATCAGGTATGCACAGTACAGTCACATCTGTGTTTTGTTTTGTATTGTTTGAAACGGTAGTGGCGTAGTGGAGTGCGTGCTTGATTACATCGCAATGCCCTTTTATTTGCTGTCGATCCGAGTTCAAATCTCGACTTCAAATCTCGTGTTGCCTGTTTATACGCTTGTAAATGTGCCTGTGGTTTATATCCTATCGAAATGTCAGAATGTGGCAATTTGTCTTACGGTAATATATCTTAAGAATCCAAAAACGATTTGAACGCAGTCACATGTAGAATATATATTTAGTTTATAACATTTCTGTGGTTTCTCTTCACAGATGTGAACCCGTGCTACAGTCTTCCTTGTATGTATGGAGGAACTTGTTTGAACCTCATTACCACGTATTTATGTACTTGTATGGATGCATTCTTTGGTCAAAACTGTGAAATATGTAAGTCATGGCTAAAGCGGGGGAGTCGTCACCTGCGCATGCGTCAGAAGGCCATAGCGTGTCATTGTTTACAAACAGTCGTCTAACCCACGAGTCTTTGCGTTCTTAGCGTGTGTTGTTATCGTCGCTTGGGACTTAATTCCCGCGCGTGCGCA